CTCCTCCTCCTCCTCCTCCTCCTTCTTGAGACAGGGTCTCGGTATCTGGCTCAGGCTGGCCTCAACTCACTGTGCAGCCCAGCTGGCCTCGAGCTCTATGAATTGGGGGAAGAGGGTGTGGGCCCTCTCCTTGGCAGTGGGAGGAACGTCTCCCTCTTTGCTTCTGTCTGCCTCTGACAGAAGCAGCTCAGCCCGACACAGTGGAAACACAGTGAGACTCGGAGTCTGCTCTGCTTCTTCCTCAGGAGTGCAAAGAAGCTGCTGACCCCAACCTCTTTTCCGCTCCCTTTGCTCATCTGTACAATAAAGGGGAAAGAAAAGGTGAATCGTTCCTCACATTTATCGTTATTCTATTGATAACACCTACCCTTGATAGCTCCTTTATCCTTTTCGCATTACTTATATCAGACCTTTGAATCTTCCTATCAATTTATGGGGGATATAATATCCCCATTTTTATAGACAGGAAGTTTGCAATTCAGAGAGTTTAGATAACTCATCTCATACAGCTGGCAATTGGCAAGCTAGACTAGAATCTACTTTTCTCAAAGTAACAAAACAAAACAAAACAAAAACGTTATTTTCCCTAACAGAAATCTATCAGGATGAGGCAACAAAAACTAGGGTTAGGATTTATAGCCAGGGGAATTGGAGCTGATTTACAGGGGAGAAAGAAATATGTAGGGGCCTTTGAGCTTGGGAAACTTTATGGAGAAGTCACTTTAGTATTTGTTTAGTTGGTTGGAGTTGGGCCAGAGCCAGCATAGGACCAAGAAATTGAGGACTTGGCCATTTAGACCTAATTCTTAGAGTTCAGTGGGCACAGTGATGCCCTTTCAAGATTTCTGGCTCTGCTCATGAAATAGGGGGACAGGGGTCCAAGATGGATGCTTCAACTAAGGACAAAATGCTCATTTGGGAAGAGATTCCCCCATGATATACACATCTGGGTAAATGGATTGCAGTGGACAGGACACAGCAAATAGAGCAGAGGTTCTGTGTCTTAAAATGCCTGTGAATGGCCCCCAAGATCCTTCCAGGGTCTTTAAGGTTAAACTCATGTCATAATAGTACTAATATGATTTGTACAATGGCACCAAAGCAATGGTGAGAAAAACCCGAAGTGCCTTAGCATGAAATGAAGCAGTATTGCCCAGTTATACTAGCAGTTATTTTGTTCTTCACACACTCACAATAAAACTTGAAAGATGGTACTTGGGCTTCAGAACAATTTTGATGAAGTGGTAAAAGGGATTAATTTTACTAAATCTCAGCCCTGGAGTACATGTGTTTCGAGTACGGAAATGGGAAGCACAGATATGAAAGCCGGATGGTCATCTTGAGGAGAAGTACTTGTGAGACTGAGTTGCTAAGGTGAGAATTTGGTTTGTCAGAAAACAGCTGGCGATATCTGTTGTTGATAATGAAATTAGACCCTTCAGAAAGAACAGAATGTAGAAAACATATCCATCCCCATGAACTTGGCACTTTCCCTTGACTTAAAACGCTGTTCTCGTGAAATGAGATGAGTCATGATAGGGCCTGGTAAGAATTTCTGCTGTTGGATTGTGAAATGTGTCAGCTTTTAGAAAATCTGCATAATTCAATGGACCAATATTTTCCAAATGACCAATGTGCCTCAAAACTGTGTGGGCAAATGTTCCATTCGAAATACAAGACACACCAATGTGTTTTAATGTGACCATATACATAGTTTATTGATGAGATTTCGCATTCCATAATGCCGCTGGCCCCTACGAAACTACTGCTTGTTGAGTTTGGGTATGATCTCAAAGAAAGACTACATTATTGGAAAAGTCTACAATTATACTCTTCCCTTTTCTAACTACATTGGCTATGTCAGACTAAATTATCTTTTTTGTTTCTTCAAATATTTCAGAAAAAAAGTATTGTACAACAGATTAAATGCAGAAGCAGATATGAGAATACAGCTGTCTTCTCTCAAATCAGATATTAAAGAGATTTTAAAATGTAACTCAATGCCACTCTTACTAATTTTTTGTGTTGGAAGACATAGTGTTTTTTTAACTCAATTGTGTTATTTTAGCACACAATGGGCATGGTATTTTAATTTTCAATGAATATTTTAAGTTTATCAGCTTTAAGTTTTAATGAAGTGAATACAAATTTCCTGCAGAACAAAACTACAAAGACTGAGGGAAGTTGTCAACAATTTAAAAAAATTATAAGGGTGTCTTGAAACCAAAGAATTTGAGAAGAGCTAGGGAGTCCTACAGCAAGGCTGTTAGAGTACAATTGCTCGGTATTAGATGCAGTGATAAGGACTTGTAAAACCAGCCTGACTAACGCTGTCAGGCAGGAAGTAAAAGGCGCCAAAGGAATGGTCTACATCTGTGCTGTCCAATATGGTAGCCCCTGGACGCATGTGGTTTTTAAGCAGTAGAAATGCAGCTGGCCTGAATTGAGAGGAGCTATATGTACAGCGGACACACCAAGACTTCAGAGAGCTAGTATAGAATCAGGAATGCAAAGTATATCCTTAAGAGTTTCTACATTGATTATATGCCAAATTTGGAACATTTTGTAGATATTAGGTCAGTCTTAATTTCACCTGTATCTTTTTTCCTATTTTAATATGGCTATTAGAAAACTTTGGGGCCGGGGATTTAGCTCAGTGGTTTCGCCGCCTGCTGCGCAAGCTCAAGGACCCAAGTTCGATCCCCGCTACCAAAAAAAAAAAAAGAAAGAAAACGTTAAATTACATATGCAGCTTGTGTTTCATTTCTCCTGGCCAGCACTAGTTTGAGCAAGAAGTGTGGTAAGAGTTGGGAGCAGGGAGAAGTTGCCAAGGGTCTGGGTCCTCCGTAGGGTCTTCACCATGAAGGATAGGATTTTAATGAGTGGGCAGGCTGGGGAGGAAATTTCCGGGTGAAGGGAGCACCAGTGGTGAAATGTCAGGTTACTCTAGGTAGCCGAGGAGACAGCTCTGAGTTGCGTTGTGGGCTGTGTAGGAGAGAAAAGTTTCAGAATGAACTGAGCTTGGAGCTCTGAGAATTTGGACTTTTCCCTATCAGCAGCCACTTCCCAAGAAGAAGAAAACAGGTCTTGCCCGGCAGCTTATGGAACGGCCTGAACTAGGTCCTCTGTTCATTTGGGGACTGAGCAACATAACTGGGAAGCTGCCAGGACCAGGCCTGCCTGAGCAGTGGATTCAGAGTGGTGAGGACAGCTGGCCGCGGGGTTACCTATTTGGAGGAGGCTGGGGCGGGCGGTAGGTTTGGCTCGTGGTGCTCACGTCGCCTGGAGAGGGGGAGCCAGAGGGTGGCCTGTGTGGTGGCCACTCAGCAAGGCCTCTCCCCCTGGCGCAGCGCTCTAGGCTGCGCGTGGGCAGACTCAGCCTCGCTTTCTACCTGCCCTTCAGTCTGTCTTCCTTTTTATTTTTGTCTTTGTTTTACTGAACACTTCCAGAGCCCTTGCTGGGTAGGGAGAGGTAACATCTACCTCGGACCTGAGCCAGCGACTGCAGGCAGGCCGGCCTCTGGGCTGCATCCTCGTAGGAGTGACCTTGTCACCTCCCCGGCCTCGGTGCCCGCAGGCCGGAAACAGGGTTAGCAGCGGAGGGGACCAGGCGGCCGAGGTCGCAGGTTCCAGAGCTGGCGGCGTCACTGGGGCGAGTCCCGGGCAGAGGCCGGGCCTGGGGACCCGGATCCGGCCGCCCCTTCCCCGCCGGGCCGAGTGGAGCCGGAGGCCAGGACGCCAGCGAGCCGAGCCGAGCAGCGCCGCTGCAGGTCGGTGGATCTGGGGGACTCAGGCAGACGTCGCCGGGGAACCCCGAACCCGGCGTGCAGCCCCGGCCTCGGGCGCGCCCGGGAGGGAGCGGGGCGGGGGCGCCAGCGCGGGCTGCGCCCGGGAGCAGCCGCGACGCCGCCGGGAAGACCCGAGTAAAGTCCCGGAGCCTGCGGCTGACGCACAGGAAAGCCTCGGTGGGCGGGGAGATGTGGGTCCCGCCCGAAGCGGCGCCGCGTCCCGGCCCGAGCGGCCTCACTGGGACCCAGCACCGGCCGCGGGCGGGCGGGCCAGGCCAGGTAAGCGGGCGGGCGGCGGGGACGCCTCGCGGGTCCGGGCTCAGCCCCTCGTCTCGCTGGAGTTTCAGGGCACAGCTGCAGCAGGGCCCCCGGACAGTGGCTTTGAGCGTGCTTGCGAGCGACTTTCCCCCTTTTTGTAGCAGCTCCGTGAAACTTACTTTTCTTGGTTCACGTTCGCAGTGTACAGTGATGACATTCATGGTGGGGAGTTGGCACATGTGCGTAACCCATCTTAATTCTCTTTATTCTCCTTCCCCTCCCCTCCCTCTCTTTTCCCTCTATCTCTAGACCCTCTTCCCGTTTGCAAAAGACCTGTTTCCTGTTGTGTTTTATTTTGCTTTTTCAGTTGTGTACACTTTGAGTTTCTCATATAAGAGAAGCCATGTGGTGTTTAAGCTCGTGTGCCTGATTTATTTCACTTAACATTATGGTTTCAAGGTGCATCCATTTCCTTCTCATGACTCAAATTTATCCTTCTTTATGGCAGAGTAGTACTCCATTGTGTGTAAATATCACATTTTCTTCATCCATTCATCTGTGCCAGTGCTCCTGTAGGGCAGTCGTCTGCCTTGTGAGCTTCAGGTCCAGGAACCAAATAGTCCCTGTTACCAGCTCCCAGGGGTGGAACAGATGGGCATTGGTGCCCCCATCTATGAAGGATCAGACTTGGTGGTCGTGGGACAGGAGAATTAGCCCTTATGAAAGCAAAGAAACATGCTGAAGAAGGTCTAAGGGCATTGTTTCCAGAGGCTGCAATGAAGGAGAGTGTCCCGGGTGATTTAAACCCCATCCCCCCCCCCCTTTTCTGCTTTGAATTCAACGCTTTGAAAGGAAGACTCAAGTGTTTGGAATAATTTAACTTTTAGATTAATTCTTAGAAGACAGGTTTGCATCCAAATCATAGATGGGATTTAACAATAGCAGCCATTAACACTGAGATGCATCCAGGCATGGTGGCACACACCTGAAATCCCAGCACTTGGGGGGGATAGAGGCAGGAAGATTGCAAGTTCACGCCTCACCTGGGCAACTTAGTGATTTAGGGAGACCCTGTCTCAAAAAAGTTTCAGTGCTATTTTCAGCTGTCGTTGATTAGTTGTTACCTCTTTGGCCTTGAGGGTTTTTTTTTTTTTTTCACTTTTTAAAGTCAAGATGATGCTTACTCTCCACCTACTTATTCACTTAATTCCTCTTTTAACAGGTATTTATTTAGCGCTTACAATACGCCTAGAATTACAACATCCAAAGGTTTTCATACACATAAAGTAATATGCAAATTAAAGATAATTTCTTTTCCCACTTGCTTTCCATTTAGCAAGATATTGGCAACAATTTTCTTTTTACACATCTTAAACCATTTACTGTGAACTTGGGGAAAAGATGCTCAAAAAGGGCTCCCTTTGCAACCTGGAGGACATGCATATGAAATTTATTATCATGATAATAAGCAAAAAAAAACCCTCCACTTACCTTCGAGATATGTTGAATTACTCTGGTGACTGATCACGCAAAAGAGTTTTTCTTTGACTTGCTGTTACTGCCAAAACAGTAAGAATTCTGACTTGGAGGAAAGTAAAATACTGCGGTATCAAGGAGACACATTCACATTAACTTCCTTGACCCAGGAGATGTGTGTACAGTCTCTGCCTTGGCCAGAGCAGGGCTACATGGGGAGAAATACATGCTTCTGTTTTACAACAGGCTGCCAAATATATATCAAATGTGGTTTCTTCTTTAGGTAACCTGAGGGTTTAACCACTGTCAGACACACATCAGAGACAGATTAAAGGTAGACTTTAAAAGCTTTGCCCAGCCACTGTGGATCACCACAGAGAGAAATAAAACTATGGATGAGTTAGAAGTATTTTGAACTGACAGAACTGGAATCAGGGAATACAGACATGAAATTTATCAGGAAGTGATGACAGTTACCCTAGAAGTCAGCTCATCAGAGGGCCGGGGATTTAGCTCAGTGGTTTCACTCCCTGCTGCGCAAGCACAAGGACCTGAGTTGGATCCCCATTACCAAAAAAAGAAAAAAGAAAGAAAGCGCACCAGAAGCCAGGCAAATCTGAAATAAAGGGGGGGAAGGTTTCAGCAGTTCCTGAGGGTTACTCCTCAGAAATAAAGCCTCGTGCAGGTCCTGGGACATAGTCGGGGCCTGTGCTCTGGAGTCATGTGCCTTCAAGCTACTCAGAGGCTGACAGATGCTGGAGGTGTGGGCCGCAGAAGGTGCTGGCTGAGAACACAAGCCAGGAAGAAAGTTGGGGCAAGACTGTGGTGTTTGGGGGAGGGTGGAGAACGCTTCTTGAAGAAGGGGGGCAGGAGGTCACGCTAGAGCAAGAAAGGATGTGGTCAAGGGTAGAGGAAGGGGACTGTGGTTCATGGGGAATAGCTTGAGACCAAGCTAAGAGGAACTGCCCTATCTTTGGCTTGAAAGCATTTTTCTGTCGTCTTTGAGTGACTATAAAAATAGAGAAATTTGTCTCTAGTTTCTTAACTTTGTCTGATTGAAATCCAAGGAAAGAAGTAAACATGGACCATAGCCATCCATCAACAAAATTTTAAACTCTTAATTTACCCCTTCTTTTGTTACAGCATGGCTCAGTGGAATCAAGTCCAACAGTTAGAAATCAAGTTCTTGGAGCAAGTAGATCAATTCTATGATGACAACTTTCCGATGGAAATCCGACATCTGCTGGCCCAGTGGATTGAAAATCAAGACTGGTAGGAGCAAGCATACTTTCCCTAGAAGTTGATATACAAATGCTTTATGATCTGTCCATATGGAGTTGTCCTATAGTCTGCTTTTGACTCAGTAGATGCATCCTTTTTAAGTACAGAATTTTGGCAGGGGTTTGGAAAGCCTTCTCGAAAAAGAGGGCAATTATCCTTCCTAGTTTCATCAGTAAGACTTGAAAATGTACAGGTGTTAGTGCTTCTTCTGTAAGCCAAAACCTTCCAATTTTTTAACATATTAAAAAACCAAGAGAATCTATTCACTATATCAATTCCCCACCACAGACTCAATGTAAACAGATATTTTCTTTAGGAACTCCTGTTCCCCCTTCTCCAGGGATCTTCCTCCTCCACAGACACCCAAGTCCTGCCCCCAGCTGTCTGCATGAATTTGGATTCATGGCCAACTCCTTCCTGGCCCTGGCTCCTCTGCCCTTACTGGAGTACCTTGAAGATAAATGACTGGCTCTACACCGACTGCATCTCCTAAGACCCTCTTGAGCCTTTATATGTGAGGAACACCTCAGAAAGGCTTCCCTTATATGTTTTCTTTTTTTTGTACCAGGGATCAAACTCAGGACCTTTTGCTAGCAAGGCAGGTGGCAGAACCACTGAACTAAATCCCTGGCCCTGCTTCCCTTATATGAAACTATCTGATTCATAAGCATTCTTCCAAGCTCTATTCACACTCTACCATTTTTTTGTTATCATTTAAAAAATTGTGGCAAAGTCTACACAATATAAAATTTACCATTTTGGCCATTTTTAAGTACACATTTCAGTGGCATTGAGTATTGTCACACTGCTGGGCAGTTATCACCTCCCTCCATCCACCTGCAGACTTTTCATCTTCAAGTGAAACTGCGCTCCTTAAACAATAACTCCCGTCCCTCCAGTCCCAGCCCCTAGGAACCATGGTTCTATTTTCTGTCTATACATGTGACCACTCTGGGTATTTTATGTAAGTGAAATCTCACACTGTTTGCCCTCTTGTGGCTAACTTATTTCATTTAGCATAATGTTTTCAAGATTCATTCATGCTGTTGCAGGTATCAGAATTTTCTTTATTTTCAATGCTGAATAATACTGCTTATATGTTTGTACCACCTCTGGTTGGATCAATTCCTTGGTCACTGGATATTTAGGTTGTTTCCATCCACCTTAGGTTGTTGCCAATGAAGTTGCTGTGAACACCGGCATGCAAATATCTGTTCAAGTCTCTGATTTCAATTCTTTTGAGTATAGACCCAAATAGAGAACTGTTGGGTCATGTGGTAATTTCATGTTTAGCCTTTTTTTTTTTTTTGGTACCGGAAATCGAACTCAGGACTTTGTGCTTAGCGAGGCAAGCGCAGTGCCACTGAGCTAAATCCCCGGCCCCCTCATGTTTAATCTTTTGAGTAACTATCACACAGTTTCCATATCGGCTGTACCATTTTACATCCCTATCCTTCATCCATGAGGGTTTCAATTTCTCAGTGTTCTTGCCAAAACTTTTGTTTCCATTTTTTGGCTGTTGCTTTCTGATAATGGCCATCCTGATGAGTGTGAAGTGGCATTTCATTGTAGTTTTGATTTATAGTTCCCTAATAACTGTGATAGTAAACGTCTTTCCACGTGCACAGTTTAATTTTAGCAAACCTCTAAATGATTATTGCTGTGGTGCAGATTCATCACCTTAAAATTCATGTGGTAAAGAAATAGATATTTCACCAAGTTGTTTGCTGACGTGTAATATCAAAAACCCCTTTGATTTTTAGGGAGGCAGCTTCTAACAATGAAACCATGGCGACAATTCTGCTTCAAAACTTGTTAATACAACTGGATGAACAATTAGGTCGTGTTTCCAAGGAGAAAAACCTGCTCTTGATACACAATCTAAAAAGAATTAGGAAAGTCCTTCAGGTGAGAATGCATTCTACTTTTTCTCGATATTTAGGTGTGTGAGTCTTGAATTCAGTAAGAAAGAAAAATATAATCTTATATTACTTTCAAACCATTTTAAGGGTAAATAATTTTAATGATCTCACCATTTAAAGTTTTTGTGCTCAGTCTTGTTTTATTACCCAATGCTCATCTTTCATGAAATTTTGCATCTAAACTGTGTGTGGGAAGGTGCATGTATGGGTTGCTCATGTGGCTTGTTTAATCACTAGGATCAACTTCAGAAATACTCGAGGAGATTTAAAAAGACAATAGTTCCATAGCTGTCTTCCAGCCCTTCGTGCTCTGTGTCACAATCTGAGTTAGTATTGTTCTCCCTCATAAGTGGACGCATCATTGGCCTATGTTCCCATCAATAAAATAATATTGATACATTACTGTTAATTTAAAATCCAAAATTTCATTAAGATTCACTCTTTGTGCTATATCATTTTACAAGTTTTGACAAATATATGTCATGTGTCCACCCTTACACCAGCATACAAATAGCTTCACTACCCTACAATCTTCTCCTCACCTGTTTTTCCTTTCCTCCCTTCACACTGAATGCCAGGAAAATGTTAATCTTCTTACTCTTTATAGTTTGTTTTTTCTAAAACATCATACAATTGTGACTATACTGGTGTAGCTTTTTTTGTATTTGTTTTTATTGGAGGAGTGTTGAGACAGGGGCTTGCTGTAGGCTCAAGGCTGGCCCTGAACTCACTATGTAGCACAGACTGGTCTCGAACTTGCAGTGATCCTCCTGCCTCAGCCTCCCAAGTGTTGGGATTATAGGTATGCGCCACCACGCCCAGCAATGTAACCTTTTGGGACTGGTTTTTGCACTTAGCGGTAAATATTTAAGGTTTCTTTCTGTCTTTTCATGGTGTTACAGCTGTCTTCTTTTTGGCACTGAGTAGTATTCCCTTGTACGGATATACAACCATTTGTTTATGTTTGGCAGTGCTGAATAACGCTACTGTTAGCATTCATGCACTGGTTTTTATATGGGCATACACTTTCAATGCGTTTGCATGAATATCTGAGTGTCACTTCTGGATCATTATTCTTGGACTTTCTCTTTGAAACCTTTTTAAAAAATTTACTTTCCTCTTTGTTTTTCTCCTTCAGAGTGACTTATTTAAGAAAAATACAAATGATGGATGCTCATAATTTTTAAAAATACGAAGCAAAGCAAAAATGCAAACAATGCAAGATCTACTTAGAAAGAACCATATTAATATTTAATGCACATTGATCTATGCATCTCTCCCTCCCATAGATAGATAGACAGATACTTAAATAGGCAATTGCCACCTGCAGCATCTCACCCTCCTGTCCTCGTACATTTATATGTACAGGTAGATGAGATTACTGTCGCTGCTCCTTCGATCTCTTGTACACGCGCATGCGCGCGCGCGCACACACACACGCACACACACACACACACACACACACCAGGAACTCCCTATGACCCTCACCTCACTCAGTTTTCCTTCATAACTTTTATCAACTTCTGATCTCGTCTATATTTCCCTGTTTCTTTATTTTTTACCATCAGAATATAATTTCCTCTAGGGGAAGGATTTTGTCTACTGCTGTACAGTGCCTATTTTATTGTTTCTCTTTTCATCATCATTGGCTCTCTGGTAGAGGAACCCATCTCTTCGGTTTTATACGGTGTAATTTTTGTACCAAGTAATGCCTTTTACAAATTTTAGGTAGAAAAAATTGTATACAGTCAGCAAATATTTGATGCCTTTTTATGAGGTTATCAGTCACATTTGAAGCATTGGGGATGCAATGGGCCAAGTCGTGAAGCTTACAGTCTAAATGTTTAAACTTCCTGAGCTCTGTTTTCTAAATTATATGAAATTTTGTGGCTGTTTGTCATGAGCTCGTATTAGTGAATATGGGGGGGAAGGCATCAGTAATCTTGTCTGATAATAGAAAAAAATTCTATCAATTACAAAGGTCTGTTTAGAGTTTTGGTGTTAATTCTGTGGTTAGAAATCTGACCACCAAGGCTGGGGATTTAGCTCAGTGGTTCTGCTGCCTGCCTTGTGAGAAATCTGACCACCTATGAGAATTTTTCACAGACCATGCCAGTGACTCTGTTAGTGAGAGTTTGAAACTTGGTGGGTGAGACACACATGCACAAACATAACCCACATCTCACACGCTCTGCTCTCTGCACCACCATGGCCTTTTTCTAGGAAGATTTTTGGAGAGCTTGAATAAAATTTGTTAGAGCTGAAAACTCCTTGCAAATTGAACCAAGGGTGGATTCTTTCTTCTCCAGTCTGTAAAAATCCAGATCTTGGTTCTGAAGATCCAGAGAAGTGAGACTATTAACATGACAAGGTAGGCGAGGACTGGAGAAACATTTTGTAAGATCACAGGATAATGTTTTACATCCTGAGCTCTCTGAACTTGCCAGACAGTATCCTGTACCCCTGCTGGTTTCTCAGTTCACTCCTCTTCCTTCCCCTCTCTGCCACACACAGAGAAGCCAAGAGATCACCACAGGGTAAGGCCTGAAGGAACACAGAGCACCATGTAGAACCCTAAAAAAGCTCGGAGTCAAGGGGGATCAGTCTTCTGTGCCATTTTGCCATACAAGAGTGGCTGTCAATTTGTTAATCACCCCACAGTTATTTTCTCAACTCCCCAAAACAATCCCTCAAAATCTGTCTTCCTCTAAGATAATTACCTGGTGCCAATGTCACAACAATCATATTTCAAAGGTTTAAAGACTTATATGTTATGTCATTTAAGATGAAATAAGAAATAGTTGTCCAGCGTTCGTTTGCTGCATAATTTGAGATAGTCAACAAAAGGTGGATGCTGTGTGTCTTAGTCACTTCTCTCACTGGTGAGACACAATACCAGATACACAAAAGTTAAAGGAGGAAAAGTTTATTTCAGCTCACAGTTTATAGATGTTTCAGTCTATTGTTGGCTGGCTGCAAGGCAGGGTGGCGTGGCAGAGGGGCATCAAAGAGGAGAAACAGTCCAAGGCAGGGCAGGCAGAAGGCAGCAACTAGCAAGTAGCAAAAAGCAAGGCTTTCCTTCCATCTTTCCCTTTATATTCCATCCTGGCTACAAGCCCATTGATTGGTGACACCCACATCCAGGGTGAGGCTTCCCTCTTTAGTAAATTCATTCAGACACACTCAGAACTATGCTAATCCAAATAGAATAATCCAGATATCACACAACTTAATCCATATTCACACAGCCTAGATCCAGCCACCTCCCCGAAGCCCCACCCATGAGCACATGAGGCTTTGGGGGGACATCTAGATACAAGCCATAACACTGTGTTTCATGATTCCTTACCCTAGGTGCATCACAGCAAATGGGAATCCATCTGATCAATTGAAGTTGCCAATCACTGGAAATTTCATTCTTAAACAATTTTGTATCTATTTCTTCAAACCGTCATCTTATTTAAGACTGTATAGATTGGGCTCCTTTATTTAATACAAAGAATCAATAGTAATTTGTCCTTTCCCTGCATTCTGATTCTCCATGAAGTTTGTCCGAGTCTAAGGCTTCCTTATGGAATACATTGTGTGTAATGGGACATGGTTTTTATTCCAAATGGCAGTTTAGATTTCTTAAAAGAAGAGATTATGTAATTTGCTTTGCAGCATACTGGGTAGCTACTCCATAGATATTTATTAGCTGAGTTTTGGTTCCAATGTATTGACTTTTACATCAGGCTAATACTGACAGTTGAAGATGCAAAGTGAAGAGGATGTAGACAAAGCTCTTAAAGAGCTTGCAATCTTGAATGTGCAAGGTACAAACAAATATTTATGATGTAGTATGGCATGGCACCATGGTAGAGGAAACGGCAGCCATAATTTGCAAAGCTGGAAACATTCACGCTGGTTCTGAAAGGAAGATTCAGTACTCTCTGAAGACGGGAAGGGAGAAAGAGAATCTTATATAATGGGAAAAGTGAGAGCAAGAAAAGGACTGTAAGAGAATGCCTTCCCCTCTGAGCAAGTGGGGCACTTTTCATAAGGAAGTTGAGGACCTTCAGTGCCATACCAAGCAGCTTGGACTTAAGCAATGAGAACTGTCAGAGATTTCTAAGCCAAAGTGTGATATAAATACATGTTTTTATTGAAAACATATCTGAAACTGCTTTCCTCTCTAAGCAGATTCACTCGTCTATTGTAGGAAAAGAACATTGGAGAATTCTGAGGCTGAAAGTTTCTTCTCTCCTGATTTTAGCACCTATTTTATTTTTCCTAACACAGGAACTAGCTGTTGTGTTTCCAAAGGGGGAAAGCCTAAATGGTTCATACGATGAAAAGTCAAGTACATGACTTGGTTTTTGGGAAATGTGTCCTCCTAAGCTCTATCCAGCAACTGATGTGGGAACTCAGACACTCTGATGGGCATGTGGGTCCACTGCCCAGTGGCCAGAAGTAGGAATGCACAGAGCAGTTGTCAGCCCCAGAGCATTAACCCATGGGTGGGAAAAAAGTTAGACTTCTGGAGGGATGACCGACTGCTCCCCTGAGAAAGAAGGAAGGAAACAAAGATACCAGTTGATGGAGAGGACAGGAAGACATTGAGAGCCATATTGATTTTTACTATCCATTGGCCTCATATACCTGGAGCATCATGGGGACTATGAAGAATGTGTGGGCAGATTTTCATAGTAACAATGGGAGAACTGTGCCAATTTGCTAGCAGTTTAATAATTTTTTAAAAATTAGTTTTTCCCACAGCCTGGACATGAAAACCCATAAGAAAGCTGTCTACACTATTCTAAATCCATCATGATCTGGACCAAAGAGATACTTAACCTAAGATGGAGGCAGTGCACAAGACTTGTTATCTTATTAAGTAAACTGTTTGAAAGCATACTGGGTAGCTACTCCAAGCTATTGTTGTAAAAGCAAGTTTAATAAGCAAAAGCATAAAAATGGGAGCAGAAATTACTGAAATTGTAAACA